GTGAAATAGAACTTTGAATTTTTATAGCTCCTTTTTTTTTCTGAAAAATTTAAGACATCCCTCTGAGGTACAGAGATGGCAAAGTTGAGGAACTTACAAAGCATATATTGTCAAAACAATGGTTTCCATTAGAAAAACGAATCAGGAAAAATAAAGTGAGAGGAAATCAAGATTTGGAGTTAATCAGGATCATTTAGGGAAATATTTGTTGTGTAGTATTATGTAACCGTGACCATTTATAACCCAATCTCTTGTCCCCAGAACGAGAGGCAGAGGAAGGGGACGAGGCAAGAGGCGATTTGGCCCGGGTCGACGGCCAGGGCGTCCTCCAAAATTTATCCGCTTGGAAATAGCCAGCGAAAATGGGGAAAAGTGTGATGACGGGACGCAGGTACTGGGGGAGGGAACGCGCGCCCCCTGCGTGCTTGCTGAGAGGGCTGTCTTACTGGATTTGAGTGCGAACACCTGCCAGAGGCTGAGCGTCCTGTCCAGTCAGCGCTTTGCTGCCTGCTTACTAAGGCGTGGCTAGAGAAAGGCAAAAAGGAGTGTCTTTTCAAATGTTACTTAACAACAAAACCCAACTTGGCTGCCCTAAAGATTTGAGATAGTCCAGAGATATTACTGGGGACTCTGTTCACTTTGTTTAAACACTTAAAATGATAATATTCTGGAAGAGTCCTGTCACAGGCTTTTCCCCATCAATTGATCTGGAATAGCTCATGGTTTTTATATTCTGTGCATAGTTACCTAATTAATTTTCCCAGAAGGAGAATATATTTTCTGAGTGTATTAAAAAATAAGCAGCCATTCTTAATCTTAGCTAATGACCCTTCCAGCACTACCCTCTACCTAGGTAGGGAAGTAATTCCTGGTTATTGCCATTCCAGGACTTGCTGCATTTTTCCACCAAGGAGCAGTTTGACGAGGCTGAGCCAGCTACTCTGAATGGGCTGGATCAGCCAGAGCAGACCACTCTCCCAATCCCTCAGCTGCCACAGGAAACCCAATCTGCTCTGGAGCATGAGCCGGAGACTCACAGCTTACATCTGCAGCCTCAGCACGAGGAGACTGTGCTGCCCACCCAGAGCACCCTGACGGCTGACGACATGCGCAGGGCCAAACGTATCCGGGTAAGTGGGAAGCAGAGCGCCTCGCTACTTACTGCCTTTCTCCAGCCAACCAGCTTTTTAGGGGCTATGTTTTCCAGCCTGTTCATCACCCACTTTCAAATCAATCCCCTTATTTTGGAGGAAAGTATGAACTATTTCTCAGTGTCTTTGTGTGCCATGGCTGGAATGACTGGTCCTAGATTCTTTCTGTTTAGTAGTGACATAGAAGCCTGGTTTGGGCAGCTTCTGGACTAGTATAGTTAAAGCAGCATAGCTCTCTGGATCCCTAAAGTCACAGATTGGATATGGAGAAATAACATACTTAATTATAATAATTGTTTGCATTTAAGCCAGGCTAATCTATGCCTAATCATAGCTCTTGAGTTAATGTTGGAGAACTGAATTTTTTTATCTACAGTTTCCAAGGGGAGACTGGCAAAGTCATTACTCATCAAGGGAGAGGGACTCGTGTCCCAGTTGACACGGCAGGTATAGTCCACACACTGGCACAGCTAGAAGTTAACTTCCAGGTTAGGGAGTAGGTCAGCATCTCACCTGCACGGCCTGCTTCTTGACTTTGGGCCACATGGTTGCAGGGTCTGCCTGGTCTCCAGGCCACACATGCTTTCTCTTATTTTGTGGACAGCATTTGAGTCTGAGTTAGGAGCTGCAGGGGATACATGTAGAGAACAATATGGTTTTGTAGGATAAGTGCCTGTGTTGACAATTTACATCCAGAAAACAATCACTTAAACCCGTGTGTTGGCAGCAGGGCACAAAAAGACTTTTATCAGTACTTTATGTGTGTATAAAAGAGCTTTTCTGTGTAACTTCCCAGGCTTTATAATTTCTAACAGGATGATCATTTTAGCTTGTATTTCTATTGGTCTTCTTACTTGCCTATAGGCTAGAAGGGACCTTGAAAAATAGTCTAGTCCATTCCTTCATGTAAAAATACATTTAAACATTGATAGCTATAAATAGCATTGAAGGGTTCTCAGCACTCTGAGGCTAACCTTTGTGAAGGTCCTATAGTAGAAACAATCCTGTGGCTCCATATATATTATTTCAAAAGGATATATAACCATACATAAATAAGGCAAAAAGCTATGAATTGAATGCCTTCCTTCCCATCCACCTTCTATATTATTTCCTAATCTGCATTTCATACTCTTGCCCTATTACTGTTTTTTCTGCTTTGGCCATTCTGAGTTTTCATTAAGTCCAGAGAAATTGCTTACTAGATTTAGTTTTTTTGAAGGAAAATACCTAAGTCCACATGTGTAGTGAAGTTGTGGATATATATAACATAGTCTAGCTGTCATTGCACTTGTGTTCTTGAATGGGTTACTGGTTTAGGTACAAGCTTCTTTGTGTCAAAGCAAAAGCCACGTACATGTGGCTTCTGGTGGTCAGTCTTAGTTGAGCTAGTTTTTTTTTTTCCTCGTGAACATTCTAAAAAGTAGGGCTATGTATTTTTTCATCTTTTCTATCCAGATTGGTAATGACCAACTGAAGGGAAGTCTTCCAATCCCATTGGTAATGTAACTATTTTTCTCTCCTCTAATGCTGCCTGCTCAGCTGGAGCTGCAGGTAGGTTTGTTTCCTGTGTTTCACATAACAGAATGTTATTTAAGTGTTTGCCTGACCTGCTCTTCTTTGCAACCTGTACTTACTAAATCCCGGTGGAAACTACAGTTTGGTTGCTATAGTAAATGCAAATTCGTTCATGAAAAATAACTTATTTTCAAGTAGATTAATAAGTAAATTGTGGGCTGCAGAGTCCTCAAACACAGGATGAAGGGTAGGACTAAGAGATCTCCAAGGTCCCTTCCAGCTCTAGAACAGTTTGAGTGACTTATGGAATGGTACCCTTTTCTAACTACATTCAGCACTGTGTGAAGGACACAACAGCATTCGCACTCCATCCCCTAGGAGTTACAGTCTAATTAGGGAGACATGTTAATGTAAGGTGGTTTATAGTTAGTGCTAAATGCAGAAGTGTAGCCTGTAATTGCTTCAGGAACTTGGAGATGTGAGGGGCTAAAGAAAGATGAAGGAGTCAGGGCATAGTTCATGGAGAATTGGCCCTTGAAAGAGAGACAGGAAGAAGGTAGACAGTTGCAGAGGGAGGCAGCCATAAGATCAGAGCCAGGGCACTGGCATGGGCTTGTATGGTTAGGGGCAGTGCATGCACTAGCCTGATGTTAATGTGGGGTTTCAGTTGAAGGATAGTGGAGGGTGAGGTATGTTGTGTGGGGCTTGGAAAGCTGGGGAGGAAATGGGCCAGAGAAAAGTTGGTAAAAAAAAAAAAAGTCAACAAACATGAAAGATTTATTTTTAGTGTCAGGATCAAAATAATATGAAAATTGATCAGTAACTTAGATTCCTTTAGCTATTAATATCAAACTTCAGAAACATTTAATTGTCATTGTCTACAGAGAATCTCTTGTCTCAGAATTCATTTCAGTGTGAGTTGACTCCCTCATCACAGATTTTAGAAAAGACATCACTTGGCACCCTTTGAATAGCTCATGTACTGTATAGTATGGTGTGGTTGACTGATGGCCACTCGGGGATCAGAAGATCCATAATGGACCCATCTGTGCTGCCTCCACCATTTTCAGTTTCTTCTAGAAATGTGTACCAGCTGTAGCTTTGAACTATAGAAGATACCTTAGAAGAAAAATGGCAAGTGGGTGAAGGGCTGGGAACAGTTTCAGCACTTACACTACCTTGTAATATGAGGATTACATTAGGATCATTAAATCAGAAAAATCCGATCTAGTTTGTGAGTACTTAAACAATATTCAGGGCTCCATGGAAATTAAAAAGATGATAAGAACAAGGTTTGTAGATAGAACTAAGAAAGTGGAGCCAGGTGGGCTAGGTGGCTGTTTGGTTTAAATCAAGTGTCTGAGGACACTCATACTAATCAGAAATGACAGAAGACTTGTGAGCAAAATGGGCCAAAACAAAACTGAGTCCTAGATTTGGCACCCCTGGAGAAACGTAATCCCTGGTGGGACCAAGATTGATTGTTTTACATTGTGTCTGCCCTTGGAAACTTTGTTGAACTTGGATCAAGGAAATGACTCTTACACGCAAAAACACTCCAAATCTTGAATTCGTAAACCCCAGGACAGCACTTGTTTATTTGCAGTATTTCCATAAGGCTTTGAAAGTAGCCAAATCATGAGATCTTTTATGTAGAATAAGTATCTGTCCAGATAGAGTACAAAGATAAGTAACTGCTAAGCAACTGCTAAGCAGGAAAATGAAGTGCAAGAAAGCTCTGTGGCTAATTGAAAAGGTCTATTCTTAAAGCTCTCTGCAGGTCTATAGAAAAGATCTTGAAATATTTATTTTTGATTTTCATATGAAATACATTGCATTCATTCTCAAACTTTTATTGAACTCTTCCTGTGAGCTAAGCTATTTTTTAAGAATCTAGATACAAAGGAGAGTAAAATAAGGTACAACCCTGAAGCAGACCCAGTCAACTTGGAAAGGCAACAGAATTCCTAAGTATCTACTCAAAATAAATGAGTAGGTAAAATATCTCTCCTAGCCCTGTTTGAGCAGCCCAGAGACGGAAGTTTTCTGTTACATAGTAACTAAGTTCAGAATTTTCACTAAATGAAAAATTATTATTTTGTTTTTCCCTTAAATGCTTATTTCACATTAAATTTATTTAGAAGTTGCTGCTTGTAAGTAAATTGAAGTTAAGGGTATAAGCATTGTTCATTGTACTTCTTCCATTGCCCAAATAATGCATTCTGATTTCCATTAATCATTCAATTGCTATTCCTGTTCTAGTGACCTAAGCATACCCATTCACGGATTTATTTTTTTGAGGGATTTCTTTTTTCCCTCCTTGCTATCTAGAGCTTTCCTGCTGGTGTTCTGAGAAACTTATGAATGAGTCTTCGTAATAGTATAACTAAAATACTGATTCTGTATTCTCTGTAAGTTGATTCTGCTAATCTGCTCAGTGGAGCATGAGTTTCCCAATAGTAGCCGTGAATTTGCACTGAGTATCCAGTCTGTCACTTGGATTCCCCATAACAACTGCATGAATTGACAAGATAGCTAATCAGCATTAGAAGTGTTATCTGTGACAAAAAGGAAAAAGAAAAAAGAGCAAAACTGACTGGCCTAGACAGGAAACAAAGTGATAAGCTTAATTTTGTTAGCATGGCATTCTAACCAATGGAACTAACTAGCTACATTGAGAACTTATCCTTTGCATTTTCTAAGTAGGAAGTGATTAAATGCACATATTACATTTATGATGTGTGCTCATGTGTCTCATCTCCTGAGCAAACATGTTTACATAAATCTGTATCCTTTGTTTCTCTTCCAGTTCTTTTTCTTAAGATATGATTCACATACCATAAAATTCACCCTTTCATAGTGGTTTTTAGAATATTCCCAAAGTTGTTTAATGATCACCACTATCTAATTCCAAAGCATTTTCATCACCCTCTGAAGAAAGCTCCTATCCACTGCCTCCTTTCCCCAGTCCCTGGCAAGTGCTACACTCAGTTCTTTTTTTTTATCTTTTTTTTTTTTGCTAAACATTTTAATCAAGCTTTAAATTCTTTTTTGAAGGACTTCCACAAATAACATTTGGCTGGCTTGCTCCAAGCTCATTCATGCATGTGTGACTTATCCCAAGTCATTTCTTCTGAATTTTCACTTTATATTTTAATGCATTCTGATTTCCATTAATCATTCAATTGCTATTCCTGTTCTAGTGACCTAAGCATACCCATTCACGGATTTATTTTTTTGAGGGATTTCTTTTTTCCCTCCTTGCTATCTAGAGCTTTCCTGCTGGTGTTCTGAGAAACTTATGAATGAGTCTTCGTAATAGTATAACTAAAATACTGATTCTGTATTCTCTGTAAGTTGATTCTGCTAATCTGCTCAGTGGAGCATGAGTTTCCCAATAGTAGCCGTGAATTTGCACTGAGTATCCAGTCTGTCACTTGGATTCCCCATAACAACTGCATGAATTGACAAGATAGCTAATCAGCATTAGAAGTGTTATCTGTGACAAAAAGGAAAAAGAAAAAAGAGCAAAACTGACTGGCCTAGACAGGAAACAAAGTGATAAGCTTAATTTTGTTAGCATGGCATTCTAACCAATGGAACTAACTAGCTACATTGAGAACTTATCCTTTGCATTTTCTAAGTAGGAAGTGATTAAATGCACATATTACATTTATGATGTGTGCTCATGTGTCTCATCTCCTGAGCAAACATGTTTACATAAATCTGTATCCTTTGTTTCTCTTCCAGTTCTTTTTCTTAAGATATGATTCACATACCATAAAATTCACCCTTTCATAGTGGTTTTTAGAATATTCCCAAAGTTGTTTAATGATCACCACTATCTAATTCCAAAGCATTTTCATCACCCTCTGAAGAAAGCTCCTATCCACTGCCTCCTTTCCCCAGTCCCTGGCAAGTGCTACCCTCAGTTCTTTTTTTTTATCTTTTTTTTTTTTGCTAAACATTTTAATCAAGCTTTAAATTCTTTTTTGAAGGACTTCCACAAATAACATTTGGCTGGCTTGCTCCAAGCTCATTCATGCATGTGTGACTTATCCCAAGTCATTTCTTCTGAATTTTCACTTTATATTCCGCTCTATTCTAGGATTTGTTTTATTATAAAAGTCCTCTACGGGGAATACTTTTTTGAATGCTACTTCAGTCTTTTCAAAAGAAAAGATGCATACATAGGCATAAAACAAAACACAAAAAAGTTTGTCTTTTCAAGATAAACTTCTTTGGGCATGGCTTCATTTTTAAAGTTTTCACCAGAAAAACCTTCTTTCAACTGTGTGTCTTAGAGTTTAATGTCTATGGAAAGTGTGTGATTGCAAATATCATCCTCTTTCTCTGTAAATATGCAAGCCACTTGTACATGTGATTTTCTCACTAAATAATCCTATTTGTGTGTGTCTTTCAGAATGCAGCTCTTCAGCATCTGTTTATTCGGAAGTCCTTCCGGCCCTTTAAATGTTTGCAGTGTGGAAAGGCCTTCCGTGAAAAGGACAAACTGGACCAGCACTTGCGCTTCCACGGGCGGGAGGGGAACTGCCCCTTGACCTGCGATCTCTGCAACAAGGGCTTCATCAGCAGCTCCTCCTTAGAGAGTCACATGAAGCTCCATTCAGACCAGAAGACTTACTCTTGCATTTTTTGCCCAGAATCCTTTGACCGCCTTGATTTGTTGAAAGATCACGTGGCCATTCATATTAATGATGGCTACTTTACCTGCCCAACTTGTAAGAAACGGTTCCCAGATTTTATCCAGGTGAGTGTCTACTGTTGAGATTCTCATATACTTCCTTCTTTGGTAAAAGAAACTTCGATCTTTGGAAAATCGAGACTGCCTACCTTTCTTTCATCCTTTCTTTAAAACAGCTTTATAGTTGAGGATGCTGTTTCTTCAATCGACCGTTAATTGTTCACATCAGACATTGGCATTTAAACGTTTAAGTTGTATTATAAGTAAATTCCCAGATCTGGTTATGATTTTTAAAATCACTTTGTTAATCCTTGCCTATACCCACTACTCAAAATTAGAGTCCATAGTAGACATACTCCCATTTCCTGGTCTGGAAACATTTCTTCCTACCACTGTAGTTTCCTGTCTTGTTTTACTAAGGTCATGCATTTTGGAAGAAAACAAAGAAGTTGGTATATAATACATTTTTTGTTTCAAGCACTGACCTTCTTCCCTGTACTATATTCTGGAGCAAAATGAGGATCAATTCCAGAATATTCATGATTTCATTTGGACTTCAAGTGATGATATTGTTCTATGCTAGCCAGTAAATAATTACATCTAAATATTTGGTAAAATACTCTCTTTATTTTAAATTACCAAAGCAAAAGGAGACTAGGATTTAGTCATAGTTTTGCTAGTGTCTTGGTAATTTTCTCACTTCACACAAACAATTAGAGAAGTTCTTTATGGCAGAATATAATGGCAAAAAAGACTCCAAAAATAATGAAGCAAAATGTCTAATAAAATAGTTTTATAGGACTCACTACCTAGCTCCCATACATAGATCCTCTTCATTGGATATTTATGGCAAAGATGGTTCAGAAGTTGTTTTCCTTTATTTATTTAAGTTATCTAAAAGTACAGGGAATGAGTTCCAATTAAGGGGAAATGATGCTGATGTTGTAGTGTTCTCATAAATGGGTAATGTGTTTTATATCACCCAAGTCTTGTCTTTAATTCTTCAGAACCTAATTTTATAGAAAGATACAAAAGGACCAATTACTAACAGGGGCTAAATTGCTTCTAATTACGTTGGAAACAGAAAAAGTGAGAAAGAATTATTTTCTGTCTTCCCATAGATAATTTTTAGCAAGATTTATTTAAATCCAAAGTAACTTGGCTTTTAATCTTAAAAAAAAAAAGGAAAATAGGTTGCATGTGATCAGCACTTTGACTAAGCAGGCACTTCTTCCTCCTTTTCAAGTCCTACGAGAGGTTAAGATCTGTAAGGATTTCTGGCTTCTTGTTTTGTCCTTCGTGACGGGGCTCTTTTGTGTTTCTGAGGCCAGTTATCAATCACCGCGGACTGGATTACACTGCCAGGTGGATGAAAACTCATAGTAATGCGCCTGGCTCCCTCTGGCGCTGATAAGCTGCCATTTGTTATTTCCTTTGGTGTCTAGCGCCCCTGACTTTTTCTGTCTTCACTGCCAGGTGAAAAAACACGTGCGAAGCTTCCACTCAGAAAAGATCTACCAGTGTACAGAGTGCGACAAGGCCTTCTGTCGTCCAGACAAACTGCGACTCCATATGCTTCGACATTCAGACCGCAAAGATTTCCTGTGCTCTACATGTGGGAAACAGTTTAAAGTATGTAAGCACTGCGTAGTTTAAGGTTGTTCTCATGGCCCCTGTGATTATGTCAGTCTAAGGATAAGTGCTGCCATCAGTTTTATCACCTCCTTACAAAGAACTGGACTTGAGATGCATTTTGTGTCTCATGTTTGATTTAGTTATTATGACAAAATTAAGGAAAGAGCACACTTTAACTTCCCCAAATAATTCAAATAGAGTAGTAATGTATCTCCAATAAGAATCCAAATGTGTAATGAGTAGAACTAAATTTCCATGAGGAATTCTAAGAGAACTTTCCATTTACTTACCAAATCAAGAGATTTCTACTGAGCACTTATTAAGTGTCAGAGCTGGATAATTGTGCTCTGAAGGTTACAGAACTGTCATTTAAGGGAGGTGAGAAATCTATAGAACATTGAGAGGGCTTAGATTACTTTGGGGAATGTTAATGACTTCAAAAATTAAAATAAAAAATAATATCAATAACCGGCCTGGAATTTAGAAGAAGCAAAGGAAAAACTCATGGGGAATTCGGAGATAAGAGTTAAACAAAAAAATATGAAAATAATAAAATATGCTTCACTGGAAGTCATATGATTTTTGCAAAGATGTCACTGAGAGAAACTCTTCTGAATGTGATTGTAAGTCACGCTGTCATCAAAACTGGAAAAGAATCAGAAATGGATTGAGGAGGGGAAATAATTTTAACAGGATGTATTTATATAGAATATGGAGACATGAAAGAGAAATAGAAAGTGAATTTCAAAGTTTAAGTTGGTATGTTACAGAATATCATCTTGATGGCTTTCAATATATAGCAGTATGATTTGGAACTCTGTAGAGAACACAAATGTGAAAAGTATAAATGGGTGTAGGTTTTTTTCTGTTTGTTAATTCAAAACAAACAAGCAAAGCATTATGTCCAAAAGGATTCCTGTCTTGTGACGTGAACTGGTTGGCTATACATCCAACATTTTTTAATTGTCTATTTTGTGCCAGATATCATTTTAACAATAGGTCTATAAAAAACCTTTCTGCTTCCTTTTTCCCCTTTATTTTTTCTTTCTTTATTTTTTTTCATTTTCCCCTTTATTTTCATCCAATATTAGACATGATTCAATCAGAGAAGCAAAACCACTATGAGTATTATGGAATAAGGGATTTCCTTATAGTAATAAGAGCTTGATTACAGAAGAAGATAGATAAGTAAGGGTCTGGCAGAAGGATCAGAGGAAACTCTCTAACCCTTGAGAAGCCCTGGTCTGGGTGGATGGGGGGAAGTTTCCTGGGGTTCTGGGAACCCACATGCCTCCAAACGCAGGGTGGGCCCATGAAAGAGAGCAGGTTGCTGCCCGCAGTGGGCATGGAGTTGGCTGGCAGGGTTGGTGTGAGGGAAGGGAACCAGTGGCCAAGTGGGAAGAGCGAGGATAAGCCGGGCTGTGCCGGCACCTCTGTGCCCAACCCCTGGAGTGTCACGGCCACATTTCCACTTTCCAGTCTGCCTGGAGTCTGTCTCTCAGCTAAGTCTAACTTGGAACTGCACTTGGCAGGGGGCCCACGTAAATGTAGTTCCCCTTAGCCACATTTAACACAGTACAAAACCGCCACACACTTTCAATCCATTTTTCAGACTATAATCAGAGTAATTTTTCTGGAGGATAAATCTAACATCATGTGCCTTTTGAAAAACTCTTTAATAGCTTTTTGCATAGACAGATTCTAAAGTGTTTATTGCTTAAAAGGCACTATAAGACCTGGCTCCCTGTTACCTCTCCATTTCCCCTTGCCCTTTGGTTCTCTGTCTGTACTGAACTGCTCAGGGTTACCTAAGTGTGGCATACTGTCTCTCCTGGGACCTTTGCATTTCCTCTCTTCCCTGCCCTCTGCTTGAGTCAAACTTACAAACTCTATTATCGTTCCACTGAGCTGATGTCACTTCATGTGGGAGCATTTCTGGATCTCCCTGCACTGGGTTAAGTGCTTCTCCTATGTATTCCCATAGGACCTTTTACTTGCGGCCCTGTCATAGCACCTGCTGTAATTTATCAGAATTGTCCTACTAACTCTAAGCTCTGTGAGGGCAGCATATGTAGACAAGGTAGGACCTTCTCACTTGAAGTAGCTCATAACTGAATGGAAAAATTAGACATGGACATTAGAAAATGATTGTCACTAGAAGGAGAAAATGCTATGAGAAGGGTAAAGTCTGATTTGGGGCATAGGGAAGAACAAATGCAAAACACCTTATTCATACATAAGGTGACACTTCCGAAGTCACTAAAGGGTGGGGAAGGGGTTAGCCTGCTAGAAGAAGGGATAGGATGAGGCACGAGGGAGGGATAAAGATACACCAAGCAGAGGGGGCCGCAGGGGCTTGGTGAGACCCCGTTCAGATGGTGAGGGTTAGAGTGGGTGGAGGCCATGGTAAGAGGCCAAGGTGAGATGAAGTCAGAGAAGAGAATTAAGCCAGCTCGTTATGCTAGGTACTTAGACTTTTGGTAAAATGAGCCCATGGCATTCTAGAACTGGGTCTAAGCTCAGGCCCAGGCAGTGGGCATGGAGGAGAGGGCCCACATTCAAGACAGGGTTGGAGGCAGAATAGACGGGATCCATGTCTGTATGAAAGGGTGGAGAGTGAACATCAAGGACCTGCAACTGGTAGCTTGGGAGGCCAGATACTTGGGAAAACTACTGATATGGGAGTAAGCCTGGGGCAGGGGAAGGAACCGGGGTAATGAATTTGCTTTTGGAGCTGTTAGGCTGGAAAGGCCTTGAGGAGATTTGCATTAGACAGACATGTCTGTCTCCATATGAGTAGCCCAGCCTAATATTAGCATTTGCAGTATTAGCATTGGGATTTATTCAATGATTCAGTTAAGATAAATTGGCCCGCTGAAAGGGAATAGGTGAGGAGAAATTAGTGAATATTGGTGCTTAGGAAAAAGTAGAAATGCAACAGAAGCCTGAGGTGGTGAGCTTTAGCATTGCATCTGGACTAAAGAGAAAAGCTGTTACGTGTAGGACAGTGTTTTTAATCCAGATTTTACTGCAGAGTGGGAAGCTGTGAAATCCTCTCCTGGGCTTTCCAGGAATGGGGGTGGGTGGGGTAGGAAGAAAGAGCAGTTGGATCGTACACCTTATATTAGAAGGAGGAGGGAGGTGGAGGGCCTAGCACTGGAATTCTGAACTCAGCATGGTTGCTGATACTTGGTGGGCACTCAAGAAATGTTACCAAATAAATGTGCTGAAAATGAAGTGGTTAGATAAATGTCCCCGTGCTAAAATATGGGAAGAACTGGTCCAGTAGAAAGATTAAAAATCTTTGTATGACCAATAGCAGTTTAATCATATATCCAAACCCTGGAAAGGGAGCTAGCATTTTGTGGAATTTGTATTTTTTCAGTATGGGCTCTGCTTAATTTTCTCTCTGTGGACTCACAGCGACATGTACCACTAGATTAAATCATCAGATTAAGAGCTGTGACCTAGAAGACGTGCTCCATCCATAGTGGACAGTGTAATTGTTCACTTGAACTTCTAAATCCATAAGATGAGTGATACTTAAATTCATTTGGGATGTAGAGGAATAACATTATGTTTGCTAAAACATATGAGAATTTGAGTAAACTCATGGTTTTGTAAATCCAGTATAACCTACCATTTATTATCAGTTTGTTTTGTAGTGCTAAAACCAAACTTAATCCATCATCCCTTGATCTCCTCTACAAAATGTAAAGTTTTTATTATCAAAAATCAGTGTGTAGCTTTCAAACTGAATGGTCATTTTAAACCAAGGCTCAGTGAACAGAATAGTTTCCACTCTGCCATGCCCCTGGCTGCTCCAGCACCCCAGTTGATGGAATGCATCTTGGTCTGTTGTGGTTACTGCTAACTTACTCATTTTCTTTTTAATCCCTTCATTTAAAAAATTTCTACCCCTACTCCCCATGCCCCTGCGTTTTCCAAAATTCTCTCTAAATAGCGGAAAGACAAACTACGGGAGCATATGCAGAGGATGCATAACCCTGAGAGGGAGGCCAAGAAAGCTGACCGTGTTGGCCGATCCAAGACGTTCAAGCCTCGTATCACATCCACCGACTACGACAGCTTCACGTTCAAGTGCCGTCTGTGCATGATGGGCTTCCGGAGGCGAGGCATGCTGGTCAGTGCCAATCAGCTGCCACTCCCAACGTGCTCCAAACCCACCTGCTTCATCTGTGGGATGGGTTTTGTCCATGGCTAGGGGAGAAAACGGAGGCAAACAGTTCCCAGTTTGGTGTTCCTTCTGTCCAGCTGCCCCTGCCCTCTGTGTCACAGGTCTTTTCTGGTGACCTCTTGAAAGGCTTTTTCTGTCACTTTCATTGCTAGTTTTCTTTTACTTTAGCCTCTGAAACCTCTGCTTTTGTCATATTTTATTTCCCTCTTCTCTTGCATTCCTGAGCATACTTTCAGTGGGATCTTTGCCTTCTCCCCAATTATTCCCTTAAATGCCTCTCTTTTCCAGATATGAAACAGCAATAGAAGGAAACTTTCCATCACAGCAGGGTATGTGCACCCAGGTTAGGTGAACCATCAGCATAACTGATTCACTGCTCTCACTTCATTTTGACTTTATTGCAGTTTTTGCAAAATACATTTCTGCCAGGAGCTAAAGTCATAGAACATTAAAATTCAGGATCTTTGTATCTCACTTAATGTCTGCAGCAAGGCTGCAGCACTAAATAATAAAAGACAGGTGTGTAGCAGGAGAATTCACTAAAGAAATTCGTGCTAGAGTAATTTTCCTTTTTCCAACAGCAGTCCTATCAAAGACTGAATGGTGTTCACAGTGACCCAGTTCACCTTCAGCAGTTTGCCGAATTACGTTCACTTCTGTTAGCAGTGACTGTTAATACCTGGTGTCACATGGGCCCAGTGATGCTGGGGCTGGCCCAGTGCCTTTTTGTTATGGGGCACAGCTTGAGCAAATTCCAGCTTCTGGGGGTCACTATCAGAGGCATTTTGCTTCTGTTTGTAATAGGGATTCTTTTTCTCATTTGCTTTTTTTCCCCTTAGGTAAATCACTTATCAAAGAGGCACCCAGACATGAAGATAGAAGAGGTGCCAGAGCTAACTCTACCCATCATAAAACCCAACCGGGATTACTTCTGTCAGTACTGTGATAAGGTAGAGGAGCCTGTCCACACTAGGGTGCCCTCTGGGAGCCCTGCTTACAGTACTTTGTCTGCATGTATAAATAAATGCTGGGATCTTTCAGTCACCCTTAACAGCTGGTTCCCTGTCTCTCAGTAGTTTTCCATTCAGACAAGAAGGGGCTATAAGTGCAGCCTCATTTTAAGCCAATTTTTTTTTTCTTCAGAATTGGTTGACTTTGTTTTTCTTGTTTGTTCCTTCTATGTGATTTTTGTTACAAAAGAAAAGGCTTATTACCAAGCACTATGAATTCATCTTAAATTCCTAAGCTCTAAAATGAGTTTATCATCCTCCTTGTAAAATATTCAGGAGATTTTGGATTTCTAGAAGACTGAGTAGGATGTGAAAAAGTTTTGTGAGGGATTACTCTATTTGTACTATTCTGTGCTTAATTTTCTGGCAGTTACAAAAAAAACAGAAATAGAAACAGAATATATATTTTTTGTTTCATTTGTAGTATTGTTTCCTTTATACAATGTAGCCATACCATCTTAAAAATAAGAAACATTCTTAAAGCATAGATTCACCACTATAGGAACTAGTTGCTAATCAAACTTTCCATTTTGGAGGATTCTTTCGCATTTAGTAGTCAACTACATACATCATATGAAAGCTTTCACGGACAGGCCAGAGAATGAATGAACTGGCCTTAGAAACAATTCTCTTTCTATGATTGTATATCCATCCTTTAAACTTTAGGGTGAAGGGTATTTATTATTAGTATTTTAGATATATCAATTCAAGGAAGATGTCTAGCATTATCTATATTATATGCTTATTCTACCTTATGTTATATCCCTATTATCCTTTAGTATATCTATTAATGTATTTTATTTTGGGCTACCTGAATGCCTTTTCTCATTTTCTGGTAATGAAATTGTTAGATAGTTTGTTTTAAAGCAAGAAAGTGTAACTGTATACCGTTTTGATGACAAAGCATTCGAAATTGCAGGTTTATAAAAGTGCCAGCAAGCGAAAAGCTCATATTCTGAAGAACCATCCTGGAGCTGAGCTCCCACCCAGCATTCGGAAACTCCGCCCTGCAGGCCCTGGGGAACCAGACCCCATGCTGAGCACCCACACCCAGCTCACAGGCACAATAGCCACCCCTCCTGTCTGCTGTCCTCACTGCTCCAAACAGTACAGCAGCAAGGTATGGGAAAGGCTCTGACCCCCTGGACTGAGGCTGTTCACCGAATCTCGCAAGAGAAGATGGCTTCCCAATCTGCTCTGATAGTGGGGGACTGACGGAGGCGTTTTCCTAGTTCATCTGGCTAAGAGCTGTTTGTTGGGGACAGTGGCAGTAAACACGGAGGGGGCAGAGAATATGGGAGACTTTCCCCAGGGTTATTGCCATCGCTAGCCCAAGCACTAGATTGGTTTCCTTTTTCCTTGGCCTAATAGGGGTCTCACATTTGAATATTCTATGCTCATACTTTATGAGCTCAGGGTTACAGAAGTGCTATGTAGGAACTGAAAAGATAGTTCTTGAAAAGGGGGTCATTTTTTCTGGGAGGCTTGTGATTGATTGCTGTTAGGGATTGGTGGGACTGGGCGATGCGCGAGGTATTCTGACCTTGCCTGATAGTTTGGGGTCACATGAGTCTTTCACTTCTTTTCAGCCTCTTCTTTTTTCCCTTTCATAGCATTGTGCGGCTTCTGGGAGACACAGAGTCAGTGTTGCTCTTGTTTGTTTGATGTTTTTTTTAAGGCATAACATCAAAGACTTTAGGAACCTTTGGAGGGTTTGCATTTGAGATAGAATTGAAAATAACTAACTGTAGTAGTTATTCTTGTTTTTTGCCATAATTTTTCAGACCAAGATGGTACAACACATTCGAAAGAAGCACCCAGAGTTTGCTCAGCTCCCTAACACCTTACACACCCCCCTGACAACAGCTGTGATCAGCGCTACTCCAGCAGTTCTAACTACAGACAGTGCTACTGGGGAGACGGTGGTGGTGAGTGCGTGCCTGGTCTCTCCCACAGTGCCCACCATAGCTTTCCGTGCCAAAGCCATGTCTATCTTGTTATTTTATTGTCTGCAAACATAACCCTTTATCCTTTGGTTTTCTATAAAAGGCATTAGGTTTATAATTGGGTCTCCTGGTCGATGCTTTCCAAAGCTCTCTGTATAAGGGGAAGCAAGAAATCTTCATTGCTGCTTGTTTGCTGCAAGATTGTCAGAACCTCTAGGGTAACCCAGTGGGCTTGACACAGACAGACAGATATAGATGTATAGGTAATCTTCCACCATCTTGACAACTTTGAGCTCAGAGCTAATTTGCAGTTGCATGATCCATCAGTGAGACAAACTAAATTTTTGTAGCATATGAGGGCACTGAAATAGCTACAAGCAGTAGTGTTCCAACTAACATTTTTTTTTCTAGACAACGGACCTGCTCACCCAAGCCATGACAGAACTGTCCCAGACCTTAACAACAGATTACCGCACACCACAAGGGGACTACCAGAGAATCCAGTATATTCCTGTGTCACAGTCCACATCTGGTCTTCAGCAACCTCAGCACATACAGCTTCAAGTGGTACAAGTGGCTCCGGTACTGTACTGCATTTATTTCTCTTTGCCTTCATGATACCATATGGCCACTAGCCAATATGGCAGCTGGGGTCAACAGAAGTACCCACTTCTCAGAGCTGGAGTTGGACCCTTCACATTGTGCTTCTGCAGTGTAAGTTCTGAGTCTAAGGCAGTCGTAAAACTTCCCCCCTCCAATCTATCAATGACTCTGACCTAGCCAGGTAAGAGATTTCTTGCTAGAAGACTGAAGATTTTAGGCTCCAGCATGGGTTGTCATCCTGTGCATTTCAGGTCAGTCCTAGTGTGAATTCTTTCTGAGCCTCTTCTGAAACCTGATCCTTGAGCACCCAGGTTAACCACTTGGTGAGGAGCCACTTGATAAGTCCCTACTTGTGCATCACATGGCTTGTATCAGCAGGAGGTTGTAAAGAATGATTTCGAATTTTGAATATCTGTCAGTACTGATACTTAGTTCCTTCTATCAGATACTTAGGAGCTCATTCTTACTGATGAGGGAGCTCAAAGAAGGAATCCTCCCAGAACTATTGTTTCAGTTAACTAGGTTGAGGAAGTGTACTCAAGGCACAAATGAACAAACTTGTTGCTTTGAAATAAGCTGGTCTCTGAAAATTTAAAACAAATACCAGCGCAGGAAATTGGAAGTTGCCCTCATCATTGACTGTTGTTTATCTTGTGTTTCTTATGGCGGCGTGGGGGGGGGGAGTTCTTAATTTTAGGCTTTGGAGGAATCTATGAATCCTTGAAGTTACCTGTAAATATGATGTGTATATACATTATTCTGGAAAAAGGGTCTGTACTTTAGCCAGAATTTCAAAGATGTCTGATATATAAAAGGTTAGAAAGCACAGTTCTAGTGGGCTAATGACAACCTAAAAACAAATTCTCTTCTTTGATCTCTTTTAACTAATTTAAGGGAAAAGGATTTTTGGTTCCTGAGAGCTTCTCATTCAGCTTGTGACTAGGGGCTGTATTCCCTCTACTTTCTTCTCTTCCAGAATTAAACAGCGTTAGTGTCTTATGCTTTATAAGCATAATTCTAAAAACTGATTTTCCTCTACTGTTTATCAGCTTGGCTTAGGCATGGGTTCTCTGGGAGAGAAGCACTAGATCAGAAAGTCCACCTGTTCTCCTGTTGGGATATTATTTTAACTAAACTTTGTCTCTGAAAGGATTTCCCTTTACCTTAATCAATGTGTGCTCGGCTTCTGCCCGCTCCAGGCCACTTCCCCCCATCAGTCCCAGCAGTCCACGGTGGACGTCGGCCAGCTCCACGACCCTCAGGCCTACACCCAGCACGCCATTCAGGTGCAGCACATTCAAGTCACCGAGCCCACTGTGTCCGCCCCGGCTTCCCAGGTGTGTCTCAGAGACATTCACAGAGGTTCATGGCACCTTAGGGACCCTGAGGAGTTAATAAGAGTGAAGAGATACAGTCTTATCTTTAGCCCTAGTCTCCCTGACTGTTGAAATGATACCATTATTTTTGGACCTTAATTAAAGAGTCTTACCTGTGCCTCCAATTTTTGTATTGGTATTGTGGTCACACCTGCATGAGCTTCCCCTGCCCAGGTGGAGCCCTGTGATCTGATATCCTAGCGATAACCTTAGCCTTTGCTTCCTCTTTTGAAGGGTTATATGGTAGTATGCAACTGCTAAGCTATGTCTATTATTTTGCAAGTGACTTTATGAGATACTATTGTGTTTGTGTGATAGATTCTATTTTTGAGATAGAATAGCTCCATCCATCCAAAAAATATGTGTTAAGTTCTTGCATTGTATGAAACTTTTCAATGTCCTACCCTGAAGGAGCTTAGAGTCTAGTAGGGTGATAACACATGCGTACAGGTAAATAGGTTAGGAAATGAAGGCATCTGAACCATAAAGGACACATGTAGGCCCACCTCTGATATTCACAGGTTCCAGGACAAGAGCATAAATGAAGTCCTACATGCCTTATGTCTAAGTAGTTAAAGTTTTCAAGTCAAGTTAACAAACCATTAAATAAAATATGGTTTGTCTTCCTACTTGACACATATACTTTTGTAATGACAACATTGAAAAATATATGTAAAGTAACAATTGATACTAAATAACATGGATATTGCCAATTCAAAATTAATTGCATTTTTTTGCCAAACGCAAGGGTGGCATCGGCAGCTGCCAGGCCGGGGTGAAGCGGGAGAAAGGATTTCTCCCACCTGTGCTGGCTCCAGGCCCCATTCAGTTGCTGTGGAAATCCATAGGTTAACATGCATTTTTTTCCACCTTCCTATTTCTTGTGGTGCTTTGGGGTGGGGGGCTCTGTTGCCTGCCACCTGATTGGCCCTCCACTCCTAGCCAGAGGGTTCCCATTACTTCCCCCATTCTGAGATGGGCAGCCTCTATCTAAGAGGGGCCCCGAGTTTCCCACCCCCACCTGCATCACACTTTTAAGTTTCTCAAAGGAGCCAGAGCCTGGAGGGCTAGGAGGGACCCCTCCAAGTTCCTCGTTGGAAGTAGTGGCACAGGGACAACCTTCCCCAAGACTGCTGTCCTTTCCTTCTTACCCAGGCTCCATCACAGGGCCTTGTGTTTAACCACGTGGACATCTGGACTCCCATGTCTTAGCTTCTTCCACCCTTGCAAATAGTGGTCCCATTTGGCCATCCCTCTGTCCCAGGTGCCTAAATACTGTTAGAGGAGCTCACATCCAGAAGACCAGACCCTGTGGAGGAGAGACCCAGGGAAGAGACTTGGGCAGGTTCTGGAAGTGGGTGTAGGGCCATTTCCACAGGAGGTGGGAGGGCTCTGGGCCCCAAAGTGTGGCTAAAAGGGGTATGGTTCCATGTGGCCTTATGTGAGGAGGAACACAGCTGGTTAAGGATGACCAAGATCCCTGCAGGGGTTCCTCTTGCCTGGGTCTAAGCAGAATGTGTCCATAGAGGTTAAGCATGGGAGTTTCAAAGAGGGAAAGATTATATTTACAGGGGATCAGGGATATTTTTGTAGAAGAAGTGGTGTCTGAATTAAGTCTTGAAGGAGGGGTGTGATTTTGACAAGGTAGTTGGGGAAGGCATTATGAGTAAAGACACAGAGGTGGGAAATTGTGGTATATTTATAGAAAACTGTTTATAGGAAATGATATTTAGAAAAAAAGTTGGGAAGGTAGTTTGAACAGGAGTATGGAGGGTGTGAATGGCAGCCGATGGTGTAGACAGGAGTAAGCCTCTCTGCTGGATATTGGCATGTACACTTGTTTTTATTCATTGTGCTTCCAAGGGATGACTCTGAGTCCTACTTCAGTTTGTGTTACAGATTAGCCTTCTGACATAGGCAAGTTATTCAGCCTCTCAATTTTTCTTGGCCTTATGTAATGAATATAATTGTACTTTTGTTCATTTGTCTTTCTAGAAAGCTATTGAAATTAGTGTTTGAATACTCTTATACATAACCCTTTGAACACTAATTAAGATTTCATAGTTATGATCTCTGTTCATGAATTCTATTCTTATTTAAAATATTATTATTTTTGCAGTAATACTTCAGTATTATAATTCATGTTAGCCTGATTAATCTTATTCATGAGTCTGAACATACTGGAAATCCATAATTTTCTACCCTTGCTTTCCCTCTCTCTCCAGGTATCTGGGCAGCCACTGAGTCCCTCCTCCCAGCAGTCTCCGCAGGGGCTCAGCCCCTCGCACATACAGGGCAGCACCTCTGCTCAGGGCCAGGCTCTCCAGCAGCAGTCCCAGGGTTCCTCTGTCCAACACACGTACCTGCCCAACACCTGGAATTCCTTCCGTGGCTATTGTAAGCAAGAACCGGGCATAATGTCATAGGGAGTCTGCAGCCATTGGCCATAATTTCATCAGCTTTATAATAGGTTTTCTGGATTAAAGGATGATTGGCCATTTTCTACACTCTGAAGTGCATGTTCTTGAATGAGTTTCATGACAAAATTCAAGGCAGCGTTGTGATCTCAGAGAGCCACCTGTTTCAGAGACACCAGGAGTACTGCTAGAAGAAGTAGGCAGGTGGTTTAAATAGTAAAATAGATGGATGTAGGATATGTGGATGATAATGATTCATCTCTTCCACCAATATTGACTGAATACCTATATATCAGTCACTGGGCTAGATTCTGGGTATACAAAGGATGGCACTGACATTCAAATCAGTAATACCACATGAAAGTAATGTTAGCTAGCTTTCATGAAGATCTCACTGGGCCAGGAATGATTCTAAACCAGATGTATATCACAATCAGGATTCACAGCAACCTATGAGATAAGTACAACTGTTATTTGCATTTTACAGACAAGACAGTTTAGAGACAGAGTGTCTGGCCCCAGGAACATAGCGAGTAAATGGAGGATTGGAAACCTAGGCAATCTGGCTCCAGAGCTTACACTCAGAACCACCCCCTCTACTGCCTCTCCTAGTAAGATAGTCTTTGGCTCAAAGAGATCATTATCTAGTAGAGAGAGATACATGAGTAGTTTCTTTCAAACCCTGAGGTTAGTGCTATATGAGCATTTAAAAGGCTGCTGGCCAGAGGCCAGAGCAGATAACAGTTTTGGTGGGAGTAACAGGCTTGGGTTTGAGCTGGAAGGTATGAGACTTTATGACTGAAGAGGTGGAAGGAACAGGAATAGAGGTAACAGACAGACCTCCCCAGTAGGAACTAGGAGCAATGGGGCTGAGAAGTTCAGAAGGCCAGTGTTGATCTTTTTTCTACTACTGATTTCTTTTTTTGAGTCTGGCTCTGTTGTGATGATCTTTGTATTATGTAGATTTGGTATGGAATTAGGCTCAAATTATACCATTTTGTTATGTTTACAGTCTAGTCTCTTAAATATTGGTGGTCACAACGGAGGCCATGTTGAGTTGCTCGTCAGGGAAATACTCCTACTCATGGTAAATACCAGTAGAATCCTGGTAAATAGACTGACATTTTTACTAAGTTTAATTCCCATGGGATGATGTGGGCAGCCATGGCAGTAATAGTATGAGCTGGCATTCTAACCTGAATAGAAGATTCTAGAATTAAAATGTTTTATTAGGGAAAATTTTTAAACATACAAAAATAGAATAGTATAATGAACACCGTTGTATGCATTATCCAGCTTCAACAGTTATCAACTCATGGCTGGTCTTGTCATCTGTACCCCCACCGCCCCCCATCGTTCTCTCCCAGTCCTCCAACTATAAGACAATCAATGTTACTTCATCCATAAATATTTTAGTATGTATCTCTAAAACCAAAGGAATATATTTTGTTAAAAATACTACTCCAATACTATTATCACATCTAAAAAAAGTGGCAGTAATACTTTTTTTTTATTAAGATATCATTGATAAACAATCTTATGTAGGTTTCACATGAGCAGTGCTGTGGCTACTACATTCACCCGTATTATCAAGTCCCCCCCGACACCCCATTGCAGTCATTGTCCATCAGAGTAGTAAGATGCTATAGAGTCACTACGTGTCTTCTCTGTGCTATACTGCTTTCCCTGTGACCCCCCTACATTAT